TATACCTATGATGGAAAAGTAGGCACAATAGTACCATTTTTGGTACTTTCATTTACAAGTGCACTTTTGGCATAATTCATTCAGTTTTGGTACAATCATAAATTATAGAAATTTAGCCAGTATATAACAAACAATCATATTACTCATAGATTCGAAAAGTGAAAATTAAAATCACTTAAAAATTAAAATAAGGGTCATTAAATAAAATTTATAATATTTATTCAATGTAAAGAAGAATAGTCAAAATTGGTCAAAATGTCGCACTGCTATTATTTCGCACATAGGTATGTATGTATATGTGTAAACAGGTCCGAGAAGTTATAATTCAGTGTTTTCTCCCTTCTTCATTGGAATATTGTGTTTTTTTACTATGATTTTACTCTATTAATTCAATGAAGTACATTAAAAATACTATTTCCAAAAATACATATGTGGTTCTAAAAAAGCCTTAAATGAAAGCAATTTCGATTTTGTGGCACTTTCATCTCCTTTTTGGCACTATTTTTGCTAAGGCGAATGTTACCCCGAAAAGCGGTACCGTAATATTACGATCGTATCATACCAAACGCTAATGGCGGTACCGCTTTTACGTAAAGCTAAATGAACGTAACGTAGATGTGTGCTTTGATGTTGTATAGGCGCTCATTGCTTTTCACAAAGTTTATTAGGACTTCATCCTCTTTGGCCGTCCATGCACTTTCCACTTTTTTATTCAAAATTGATAAAAATATATATTAAATGCCTTTATTTTGGTCAAAATAGTTGTAAACAAATTTTCTAATACACAGCTACAATTATGACGTTGCCAAAAAAAGTTGATAAATAGTTCTACACCGTCACTGTCGCCATATAGCCGTCATCTTAGTTAACATCTGGTAATATTTACATGGCAACGTTTTTGACACCGTAAAGTTACGACCGTTATTTTACGTTACCGCTTTCGAGGAAACCAAAGCTTAACACCACCTTGTATAAATTCGCCTTGATTTTTGCAGTCCATTAGGCAAGGCGAATTTATACAAGGTGGT